GACTGTGATGGATGTGGTGTGAGGTGTGTGTGTTTTATCTGCACACTGTGAGAGCACAACATTGTTAGTTTCTATTAACCTTTATTTAACTAAGCAGCCTCTGAGGATTAAATAGAAACCTGGCAAGAGGCCTTTCATTCTAAAATAACAACCAGCAGGAGAGCTGCCAATGGCTTGGTTAGGAAAGGAGGTCTTTAACCTTAAAAACACCACAGAAAAGACCTTTCTGGAAATGTGTTATACACCCAACGGAGAGCTGGGTGAGTTCTTTCAAATCGTCGTCAGGAATAAAAAGAACAAGAAAGAAATCTGAGTCATATTAAGTGAGATATGAGATAGTGATTCAACTCCATGTTCACAGGCGAATTAACTCAGGTGGCCCCCATTCCGCTCCCTTTGAAGATACTATCCTTTGTTCTTGTAGCTGTTTGCTATGAAACGCTGAAATAGTAGCAGAAAATATGAGATGTTCCTCAAGATCACAGGCAGTGAGTAATTGTTATCTTGTACCCAGTGTGGTGCCAACTCAAGTCTGTCTGCTGGAGGAGCTTTACAACTCTGTGATGTGGGCCAAAAGGAGTGTAGATTACAATGGACATGGACAATGTGATATCTTTGCAAAATACCAAAAAGTATACAGATATTACGGACCCTGCAGGGATTTACAAATTCCATTGGGTAGTATTGCAGAAAACATATTAAGAGCTCATAAATATTGCATAGTAAATACATTAGACTTGTTCTCAATAGCAGAGGAAATGTGACAGTTTGATTGAGTATCTGGACCCGAAGTGTAAAATCTACAGAACTACACGGCATTTAGCGAAGGGTTTGTTACTCGAGAAGGCTGCATAGCAGAAATATAAATCTTTAAATGCAATATAACCCAATACTATATACTACACTGGGCAGAATTACGATGCAATGTAAAAACAGAACACGGGAATTAAGATATTTGAAGAGTAAGACAAATGAGATTTGTGTTGGCCTCTTGCCTTGGCACACAAGACAAGTGAAGAAAGGGCTACCATAGCAGCAACACACTGACTGTATAAAGGCCCCATCAATAGAGGATTTAAGGAGATAAACAAAAACATTTAGGTAATCAGCGCATTTGCAGATTCTACCTACTCTCCATTTTTAACTTCTTTCTGCTTTGCAACCGTCATTGGAAGTCACACGTTCCTGTTGTTTTCTATACATGAATAACAGCTTGCAGGGACATGCTGCTGCACTCTGCTGTAATAAATCATGCTGAGCTACTTTTACACTGTTCCTTCAACTATCAATTTATGGAATTCTTTGCTTCGTCAGGCAGGTGTAGAGTTACGAAAGAAAGACAGGAAAATAAAACGCAAGTGAGATCATACAACAGGGGAATCTGGAGTAGCACAGAACGAAACATGCCATGATATACAGCAGGTTTGTGTTGTTCTGCTTTTGATATAGAAGACTTTCAAACAACCATTGAAAGGATGGGGGATTCTTTCTGGAAGAAGAAACTTCAACAGTCTAGTGTGCATAGCCTCTGATCAAAGGCATTTGGATTTACAATATGGAGAACCATGTCAGTATCATTCAGCATAAACGTCACCGTTGAGAAATGTATTCAAATCTGTTCTCCTCTCAAACGAGGGATGAAATGCAGGATATGGCCATTATGCAGCAAACAGTGGGCAGTGCTGTGCTCAACATCTGCTCTTACAGGCGGGTTTGCAGTAGGATAATCGGGGTAAGACATTAAGGCATCATTCCCAGATTTACCCCTGTAATAATTATTCCATTAGTTCCAGATGGGAGGCAACCAGAGTAAATGGAGCCCAGAATATGTGCAGTGCTGCAATGCTCTGCTGCTCTTGCACGATAGATCCATCATGCTGATCCTCGACGTGTCATTTCCTGAGGGCTGGGGAACACAGCAGTAACACGGGGGATCTCTATGAAAGGGAGACGACACGCCGAGGCATCATCACCTCTCTATCAAGTGCACACACTCGACCACACACACACACACACACACACACACACACACACACACACACACACACACTGCAAAACCTGCGCACTGTGCACACGTCTTTTGACAGCTGAACAGAGTCTGCATGTCCGTCCACGACCAGGTCTCCTTTAATGACCACATTTAAAACATGTTGCGCATATCAAACCTGAAGCATTTACAACTACTGCAACACCCCGATAAAACAATACGTGTGTGTGTTCGTAACCGCCCGTGCAAAACATTCCCCATGCAGCTTATTCTGAAACAAATCTCCAGCCAAGGCAACTTCCGATTTGCACCACAACTACTCGAAATTCAAAGCTCGTCCAGGCTAACTAGTAGGCTAGCTCTGCCCCCAAACAAAGCTCCCATTGTCTGGAACTTGTAGTCTTAACATTTCCTTTTGGCCCTCACAACTGTGATTAACTTAGGTTCGAAAAACTACAAATTCGAGGCACTTGGAGCATGCGCACAAGCAACCTAATTATCAGGAAGGTTGTAGAATATTTAGTAGTTAATGAATTGTTGCGAGTAGCGGCATATTTAAGGTAATATATCTACTCTATTGAATGACCGCAGGTCTAAGTGAAGCGTTGAAGCTGTGTGGATGTTTTTAGCCGGGGCTAAGAGTGCCGGCTGAGCCGTAGTAAACAGCCTGTTCTCTGCATTGACTGAAGTTGGTCGGCTGCCTCTCTCTCGCAGCTCCCTGCTCGTCACTTTTCAGCGCTTTTGAATCAACCCAAACTGTTCAGAGAATCCTGAAAAGAGCACACACACCTTACCTAATGCTGCTCCGGTGTTTTCTCTCGGCTCCTATTCCGTTAACATTAATCTCCAGACATTTAGGAAAGAGTCGCTGTAGCCGTCGGTCGACTGCCTGTTCACCGAGCGAGACGCTGCCAAGAATGCTCAACCGAAACCACCCGCACACTCACGGCGCATGCGCACCTCCGGCTGGCGCAACCTAAGATAGTAACACACAGCAGCACGCTGCTACCAAAATACTGTAAATACTTTAAAAATACTGCACCAATAATAAAACCTTAGTATGAGTATGATATAACAGTTACCTTGCACAACTGTAATGTATATCCTATGTACATATGTTTTATTCTGTTACTGTAGTTTATGTCTATGTTTCTGTGGCTGTAGCCTAAGTATATTGGTATTTTATAGAATACTCCAATTCATCCTGAACATGTTATATTGTGTATTTTTTAATCTATTTATCTATATTGTTTTGGATGCTTTACTATACTAGAACATGTCGTCATACCTACTCTTGTGATGTATATCTACTATTCAATTCAAAGATGTATTATGGATTCTTAAAAAATGATTATTTCATACATTTAAACAATATAGCAACTTATCTAAAAAAAGATTAACCGCTATTAAGACCATTACGTTATACATTGGCCAATAATAGAAACTCTAGCATTAAAAAATAAATCTATTTGTCTTCTTCTTTTTTAGTGTTGTTTTCTATTATATCGTTATAACATATGTTTAATAATGGAAGTCAGGTAAAAGTGAAAACTACATCTGAGGGAAACGCTTAAAGAAATAGCACTAGATGCATTTTTTATATCTATAATGGCACATGGTCAAAACATTAGTCAATAGCACAACCTTGTGGTTGCAAAGCAAAATCAGTCCTCTGATATCAGAAGCAGCTTTATTAGCGAAGTGTGTGTAAATTACATACAAATAAATTGTCTTCAATTTAAAATTGCTCTCAATGTACTTACATAAATAGACATAAACATTCCATAAAAGAACGAAAAATAAAAAAATCTCTAAAAGGTATATGTGAAGCAACATTGAAATAATGTATACGAGTCTAACACATTGTATGTGTAACTAACTTTGTAAGTGGCTATTATTTGATAACATTTGTGTGTTATTGCACAGAGTCAAATCAATTACTGTCTGCTTCACAACTTTCAAAGACAGGTTTTACCATGATTAACTTAATACGACCATCTTAAGAAACAAATTCCTTGTTGACCTGCCTTCCCAAATAAACATACAAATAAACATATGCTACAATTGGTAAGATATAAACAAAAATAATGCACAAGTTGATATTGCACAAGAATATTAAATAGACAGCCTGCCAAATGTGAAAGAGGGATTATTATAAATTATAAATGTATCATCTGTAGGCAACACAGCCAGACAGAACGTCTTCTGATCAGCTGCCTGTTTGGTGTATGTCTTCTGATCTCTGCAGCTCTTCTGGCATTAGTTACTGCGATGTATTCAAACAAACAAAGACAACACATGAACCACTGAACAAAACCACTAAATACTTTGTGTTTCACTCATGAGGCACCAGGGGTCAGTGTAGCATAATAATGAGTTTATATCAATTGTATTCTGTAATACAATGACATTTCGTCACGGGGTGCCTTTGTTTTAATAAAAACTGGTTCCATACACAATGTGATGTTATTTATTTTTCTCAAGAAACCTAATGTTATTCAATGTCAAGAAGAAATAGGACGCTATTTGTACTCATGTTATCTCCCCTTAAAAAAAAACTGATAACACATGTTCAGGTTATAGTAATTCAATCCTATAGATATCAGGGTAGATATTTAATGTAAGATTAGGTGTCCTTGAGCAACATCCCTGGCATCTATTGGGACAGAAAACAAGAAGCAATCTTTTCCAATAAGTATAAATCCACCTATCAATATATTCCAATGCATTATTAGGCAGACACTTGTAGGTAGGCAACAGGACAAAGCACTGCATTGTAAAATAAGTTAACAAGCTCGTAACTGTCCTTATGATTATAATATTGCCAATTATTTAATCTATACGAGCTGCCAGAATAATGTAGGTCAGCAGGAGATCCCTCAGAAACTACAGTACCCACAGTGCAACAGCACACCCTCACTCCGCCCTGAACGTGGAGCTGAACCCAGATCTGCACACACGTGATGGGAGTCATTGCGCGTGCTTCCACCCATCCCTGTGTTTGTAGATCTGCACAGTGGAAGCACTTGTTCCCACGTATGTGGACTGCGCCCCGGTGTGTTTGGATGCAAAGTCAGCCCACAGACTGACAGCTCGCTGCTCGAAATGTCAAGTCTCTCTGGAATTAAAGCCTGTTTGAATAGGATGGACCTCCGGACAGCCGGATAAGCAGCACAAGCAAGGACTGCCAGGAGTGTTTCATTTTGACGCCAAATTGGGAGACTGACCTGGATGGTACTTACTTGGATGCATCACACGCCCATGCGACGATATCGGTGTATGTTGCTGCCATCGTTGTCCAGGTTAGGTTACAGTGAGCTAAGCGTTAATTGTTTACGTATTAAAGCTGTTAGCGGCGGAAGACGCAAGTGGGGACTGGATACAACATTTTGCGCAAATAATTGGCCTAAATAAACGTTAAATAGCCTATTATTAGATCATTATTTGTATTGTTATGATGGGGCGCTCTATCTATTTATGAAGGTAACATGGAGCATTCATCGCCTTATTTCATCTCGTCCACCCGGATGAGAGATACTGTAATTGTGCAAGGCTGCATGCAAACCATACTTTCCGCCTTGTTGCCGCCGTGTGATGGTTTCTAAAGAAGTCGTGGACATTTAAATCCTTCGCTATTATTGATTATTAATTTAAAACTACCACGCGTGCTCTTGAGGCAGCAGGATAATGATACATGCTGACATTGCCTCCCTGTCTCCAGTCCAGAAGAGTTTATTTTCCCACCGAGGACTGGTCTCCATCACAAATGTAGCCCAGCAGAGGCGACTGAAGCAGGCCGCTGCACATAGACGGAGGCGGGTTTGTTGTGCTCAGGCTGGATGTTGAACATGGTCCGTACTGAATACCTGCCGCCGGCTTGTTTCTGTAATTCCCTTGCTCTCTTAAAATGGACGGGGCCTTTTTGATAAAATCTATTCATGGACGTTGAACGTGCTCATGGTTGTAGGAATTATCCTGGACCGGCTTTTCGGGATGTAGGGCGAATATCCGCTGATATTTCACAGTAGGCTCTACACAGAAGAGGAAACAGCCCGTGTTCATGGAGACGGCCTGGCGGGGGAGGTGCATGTACACTCTGCTGGATGAGAAATAATGAAGACCCCTGCTCAGAGGATTTCACTCAGCTCAAACACAGACTGCTGTTTTTATTGGCAGCCTAAATACTCCATATTTAATACTGATATTACTCAGCTGTTGTTCTAATATCATCCCTGAGTGTCTCTAGCACTCAGTCAAGTAGCTATACCATTGGCTGATATTGACTTCATGAGGTTATGAGGCAACATTTCAAAAGTACAAACCATGAGTCCAGCTTTTGTTGAGTCTAGATACAATCTACTTAGTTGTAACAGCAATTTAAGACATAGTTATTAACTATGTTACTGTTTTATTAGTTGTAGGCACATATTGAGGGATCAGGATTGATGAGGACCTGATCTTAACTGATGACCTGCTGTTTCTTAGATAAATACATAATCAAGGCTGCTTTGAAAGTCTGCAGAAGCTTTCCAAGAGGCACAATAGTGGAAACAATCAATTACGTTTCTGAGGGGGTTACATTCATGGATCTGCTGAGTGTCAATATTTGACTTGATGGACATTGTCCCTGTATGAACTTGCCTTTGGGAATACATGCTACTTACACACCGCGTAGCAACAGCACAGCAGCAACGGGTGAGAGGATTTGGCACAGTTTCCACAGCGGGATGTGGTGATGGGGGAGAGCAGTTGCAGCACCCTGATCCTTTGATCCCTGATCCCCCCCACTGGTGGTCTAGGACTCCCCGTCTCTGTCAATGGGCCCTGTATGGATTTTGTCCCTGAGTTGACAGAGGGCAGGCCTACAGCGTCAAACAACAGTCTGGCTGCCATGCATCCATACGGCAGAGCGAGCAGCACAGCAGCCCCCCGGTCCTGCACCAGCTGTGGGGGCTCCTGCTCCCCACCTCCCCCCTGCCTAATCCCTCCTGACCCCCCCTCATCTACTACCTCCTCCTCCTGCTTGCCCCCGAATATGACTCCTCCGCCACCAATGTGTCCGGCCCCGATGGTGCAGGTGGAGAATGGCAGCAGCTGGAATTCCTCCACCTTCTCGTCCTCCCCAGACTCCCACCCTGGGCACCACTGTGCTGCAAACAACCCCTACTGGACTGCAGTCTTCGACTACGAGGCCACAGCAGACGAGGAACTAACCCTGCGGCGGGGAGACCTCCTCGAGGTTCTTTCCAAAGACTCCAAAGTGTCTGGGGATGAGGGTTGGTGGACAGGCAAGATCCAGGACAAGGTGGGTATCTTTCCATGCAACTATGTCACAAGGGGGGGCGCTGCCAACTACCAGCAGCTGACTGCAGGCGGGGTGGGCGACTGCCCCCTGGAGATAGACTTCTCAGAACTGTCCCTGGAGGAGGTGATTGGAGCAGGTGGGTTTGGGAAGGTGTATAAAGGATTATGGCTTCTAGAAGAAGTAGCAGTGAAGGCCGCAAGGCAAGACCCAGACGAGGATATAAGTGTGACAGCAGAGAGTGTGCGGCAGGAGGCCAGGCTGTTCTGGATGCTCCGGCACCCCAACATAATCTCCCTCCGTGGGGTATGCCTGCGAGAGCCCAACCTGTGCTTGGTGATGGAGTACGCCAGAGGAGGGGCTCTGAACCGAGCACTTGCTGGGAAAAAGATTCCCCCGAGGGTCCTGGTGAACTGGGCGGTCCAGATTGCAACAGGGATGGACTACCTGCACAACCAGGCATTCGTACCAATCATCCACAGAGACCTCAAGTCCAGCAACAGTAAGTACTGCAAAAACATGACACTTATAATCACTGAGTTTCATGTAGATGTTCTGGTTAATATCAAATAAAGTACAAATATTACTAATCCATTAAATGTTCGACAGAAAAATATTTGACAATTATTTTTGATTACTGTTAGAGACATTTTCGTGCAAAATTGACAGAAAAGGCTGTTTTCAGACTGACTAGATTTCCTGCTGTTCTCTGTTTTAAATAATATTAAACTGAATATCTTTGGGTGTTGTACTGAAAAAAAAGACATTCAAATACATCTGCTTAGACTTTTAGAAACTGAAATGGACATTTTTTTATAGTCCAAGAAAGTAATCGGCAAATGAATCCATTTTACAAATAATCCTAAACTGCAGCCCTATTATCATGTGACTATGCTTCATGTTGACAATAGGAGTTACTTACAGGTAAGAGAAATGTAAACCTGTTTTCACATGACCAAAGTTTGAGTGAGACACTTAAGATAAGATAAGATAAGATAAGATAGAGCTTTATTGTCTCCCTTAGGAGAAATTTGTCACTAAATATTGAATTTGTCACTTCAATATTTACACTAAGTACACCTTGCACAATTTATTCTTTCTCACAGTACAATTTTTAAAAGGTCAATTTGGCCCTTAAAGGTGCAGTTCACGTGAAATATTTATGAATTTAGATTATTTTTGTGTGAGTTGATCGGTGTTGAAGATAATGTCTGTAAAGATCCCAGACTTCTTGAATATAATGGTGCTCAAAGCGCCAAAAAAACAGCAATTTCTCTTTCCAGAAATCGTGACCCAGTTACTGACGATAATCCAGAGGTATTGTTGTGTACAGTTTCATGCAGGAACCTATAACAGAGCAAAAGGAAGAGTGCATCTACTCAAGGATGAGAGGCTCTCCTGAGCTCTCCTGAGCTCACCTGAGATATATAGCTAACGTTACAGCGAAGCCGAGTAGGACGGCATTCATGTTTACTTCTTCCTCAGTCACACGCCTCTCGTCCATGAGCAAGCAAATCAAGATCTGTGGAACTTCTTGAGTAAACTGGTCATCATTTTTGAGAAGAGACATTGATGCCTTTCGACTGTATCCCTATGGCTGATATCTCCAGCTCAGGGAAAATCTCCAACAAAATAGATTGATAACTACAGGAAGTTAAATAAAAGTCTGATTATGATTATTACATTTTGTATGAGCTTTAGAGCCTGTTAGTGGCAGAGTCATATTAGCTGTTTCTGGTCTATGTGCTTAGTTAAGCTACCACCTTTAGTCTCCTGGCTGTAGTTTCATATTTTCCTTATGTGAGTGGAATCAATCTTCTAATTTCTCATCATCATCCTTCAATAAATCTTTCACATATGGCAAAAATCTATTATTGTTTACAGTACTTGGGACAGGACAGTAAAATCAAATAAAAGTAATACCTTTATACTATCAACAAATCAACTATTAAAAAAAGAGCATATTGTGATATATTGCTCTATTGATTATAAATCACACTGTATGTTGTCGCATCGTTTAGCTTCTATAGTTGGGTTGTGTTAATCCACATGGGCAAATAAGTTGTCATTTACAAATGTACAAACATTGAGCTTTCTCATAATCAGTTCATGGCATTACAAAAATGATATTATAATGTTGCATTCATTTTTCATAACATTGAGGGTTTTTTTTGGGTAGAGAGGAGAAACTTAAATTGAACACAATGAGGGGGCCTAAGTCCTGGAGAGCTGGTCTACTTCTGCCATATTTTCCCTGTCATCTCTCTGCACCTCCTCTTGCTCTTCTTCCTTTTCCTCCTCTTCCCTCCCCTCCTCAAGAAGAGCAGTTCTGCTCTGCAACTCACTGAGCTATTTTTGGTCCTTTGTGCTACTTGCTGTTTAAAGACGCAGTTGCAGTTGTTGGTGCATCAAAGAAATAACACGCAGCGAGCATCTAAGTGCATTTCATGCATGTGTGTGTGTGTGTGTGTATACGTGCTGGTCAGACTGTGTGTGTTCATCCCAAGTGACATGAGTGATGGGGGAGGGAGCGTACAAATATGGGTGGGGTGCAAAGGATGCTCACTAAAGGACCCTTTTAAAGGAGGAGACAGGCAGAAAGTGAAGCTTAAAAACACTCGCTGCTGATCTGCCCAAAATGTTTCCTAATCTTCAATCCCTTACTCTCCTTGAGTCTCACTCTGAAACATGTGCACCCTGCTCCCATCTCTTTACTTTCCCTCCTGCTCGTGTGGCTCAATAACAGTAACGATGGGGGATCAGATGCGTATTGGACAGCAGAGCCTTGGCAACAACACCATAACTCTGCCTTTCCATGGTGACATGGCACTGCTTCTGTGTCACTGAGTCATGCTGCTGCTAGCTGCTGTCAGATGCTGCACAAAATGTCAGAGCCCCAATTTAGAGTTCTGTCTGTGTGAAAATAGCAACTGAATGAATGCAGGAATGTCTCATGGACCCTGTTTTTGTCCCCTGAATGTTGACTGGAAATGTGTGGGTGCTCATCGTTAAATACGTGATTAGACTGTGACTCACACTCGTACTGAGGGATCTTTGCATTAGCATGCCGATGCCCAGGAGGGTGAAGCATTGAATGAGAGCGAAAGAGACTGAGGATAACAGGGTGGAAAAGATAATATCGTGGAGGGAAATTAAGCTCGGGGACCAGAGAGAGCGGAGAGAGGCGAGAGAGGACAGTGATGGGAAAGAACAAGAGAAGGGGAGCGCGGGGGATAAACAGCGGTTCATCTCAGTTTAAGGTTTCACCTCAGCTCATTGTCCAGGTGCGCTGGTCTCAGGTATCCTCTTCAAACCGCCGACCACTTGGCATCACCGCGGTTACAGAGCCGCTCAGCCCCCGAGCCTCCTGTGACTTCAACCTGCTCCTGTCACCAGTACACTATACACACATGCTGCATTCTTATCGCATACCAACATACAATGTATACTAGGTATGAACAGCAGTGCAGGCGTACTGCATAGTGGTTATTGTACTGCATATGCAAGACATACCCGGATGTATACTACATTTGCATGAATTTCTGATTATGCAGAATGAGCTAGCTGCACATACTTAACTGTCCCACAATGCATTGCATTTAGGTGCCTTTAGACCAGCCATCAGCCATGTCATATTTTTGAGCCACACTAGTATCTGTTGTTATGTCACTTTTATTAAGTTTTTCAGACAAAAAGAAACCATTTACATTCCCAATATGTGGTCAGTTTATCCAAATTATTCCTGTTTGGAAATTTGCCTCGATGTATTTGTCAAAAGAAAACTGGCAACCAGGCCATCAGTAAGAAAATTGAATGGTGGATTTGAATGAAATTTTAATTTTTGTATGTGAACAGCACCGCACACACAGTACAATGTTAACCTATCCTGGTAATATGGGCATGTATTGAATATATTCTCCCCACAGTGTGTGGGGAGAAGTGTGGGGGTCCAGTAAGTTGCTAATGGGCACGACAGCAGTGCCCAGGAGGTGAACTGGCACAACATTAGTAGGCAGTATGTAAAGGATGTAGTGTGCAGCACTACAGTTTGGGATTTCAAACAAAGCCACTATCTTCATCTCGCTCTGAAGAATTGATAAAAGCAAAACTTGACACTGATTTTAGATTCAGTGTGTGCTTGAAGCTTTACAAACATTTTACAACACAGGATTTATTTTAGGCTCACTCACATGCTTTCATCTAATTGTATCCCAGCCAATTGAATGATTTTTAAAAGGTGTGTCTCCTTGTGCTTGTGGGAGCTGAATGTTCTGTTGTATGTCGTTAAAGGCCTGCAGTGAGTCTGTGCAACGGGGATAATCTGATTACCGTGACCTCCTTAGAGTGATGTCACAGCATCTTTGTGGGTTGGTGGTGGTCACGCCTTACCTGTCGCTCTGATCCCGGATCAGCCTCTAGTCTCTCCAAGCATAGGGCACCAGTCTTCTTTGATTGGCAGGATTAACCCATGGGATTAAAGCAATGAGAAGATTAATAGTGCTTTTGATCACTATAAACACTATTGTTCGAGATAAGGGCTGCTACTTTTATCCTCCATTTGTATGATGTATAAAATGCTGCAAACATTTGAAAAATGTATTTGTCTGATATTCAGATCGCAGAATACAAAGAAGTGACTATTCTCATTTGAAAAGCTTAAAACTGTTAATGTTGATTAATTGACTAATTAATTAACTAGATTTGACTTTCAAACAAAAGCAGGGACACAAGTCATTTAAGTTTATTCATATATTTCTAATTCAATGTGGATACGCACAAGATAATCTGAGTTTTGGGACAATAAATCAACTGACTTCATCTGCTGATAAATCTTAATTTAATTCTATTAATATACATTAAACTAACCTGCTGAGTGAGTGGACCTTGAGCTGATCTGTTTAATTAACGCTGTCCTGATATGAGACTTAGTCATGGTTCTTTTTGAGATAAATGTACATCACTGAAACTTTATATAGCTCTATAGAGGCTCTGAGTCTGCTGCAGGTAAGACAATACAGCTGAGCCGATCACCTGTCGCAGTTACAGAAAGGCCGGGTCATAACTGTACCTGCAGCCTTCTCTTACGTATGGTAAATGTAGTATGATGTCTCAATGTGGATGTTTACATACATACGTACAAATATCATTTCATTTTCCCTTTGATCACCTGTTGGATAAGATGTCTCCACCTAATATAAGTTAAAATGTGTTGTTGCCAGATGAAGCTTCAAAGCTCTATAGAAAAAACCTAAAAGACACACTCAATAAAGACACTGTGCAGTTGACATTACCAGCTGTTTTGACTGCTGTCGCTTCAAATGGACGCCATGTTTACACAGTCAACAATCAGCTGAATAGTGTGGGAGCCCCGTATCTCAGAGCAGGCTTGTCAAGTATTCTGTTTGCTCATTGAGTATTTAGATCACAAAGCAAGAAAAGACACACGATGTAAGACATTTGTTAGGGTGTTTTTATTTTTAATATAGTCTTGTACTAGTTACC